ATATCTCTTAGAAAAGTATCCTTTTTTTTTGAAGTGTCTCTTCACTTTCAATTGGAATTTTTTATATGGAATTTTTTTTATAATTATAGACTTTTTGAAACTGCAGAATATTAAAATATGCACAGACTTGGAAAATGCATCCTTATTATGAAGATTTCGCAATTGTTTCCATTTAGTCCATTCTACTTGAGTTTTTTTTTTTTTAGTTATAGAGGTCACAATACCTTTATTTTATTTTTATGTGGTGCTGTGGATGGAACCCAGTGTCTTCCTAATGTGAGGTGAGCACTCTACTTCTGAGCTACAATCCCAGCCTACTACTTGAGTTCTTTTTAAGAAGAACTTTTTAAGAAGAATGTTATGGTTGTGTTCTTCTGGCTCCCATGTTTCTTCATTTTGAAGAGGCAAGCCATGTTAAGCTGCTGGTGGTGTGTCCTTCCACCCTGGGCCTTCACGGAGGCCTGACCACATAGCCACCTTTCTTAATGAACATGGCCGTGGGAGCATGTAGTGACCTGGCAGCAGTGACTGGAGACCCCCATCATGCAGTGGGTGAACAGTGGGCCTGTCTTATTCTGGGGGCTAAGCCTCTTTTTATCCAGCACTCAAGGCCAGAATTATAGTATAATAAAATAGCAGGACCCTTTCACAGCACTATTTAATTGATTAATCCACAGAACACGTACTATTGATTTCCTACTGGTTGCCAGGGCTTATGATATGTGCTGAGATAACAGTGAGTCTCACATAGACAAATGGCCATTAAAACCACTGTAATACCAAATTTGTTTGTGGGAAGGAATTGTCTTTGCCTAGGCAAATTCTGTGAGAAGCTAACTTTGAGGATATACCGTGGTAGGAATCAAGACGACCGAGCGGAGCAGGATAGTGGGGTGAGAGTGGAGAAAGGAGGGTAGTTAATTAACTAGGAATCTCAGGGGAGGAAAGAAGACAGATAGGAATGGAAAAAGGACAAAGGAGGACAATGGAAGTGACTAGAGGGGGGGAAAATCTATGGTGCTTCCGACTCTGGAACATTCTGACAACATAGCCCCCAGAGATCAACTTCAAGTAGTTGTGCTTCTGTGAAAGACATCCATTTTTTCCTACCATCCTCTTCTCCCCACCCAGTACAATGTCCCAGGAAACTTTTTTTTTCTTTTCTTAAGCAAGGGTCTGATTTCATAATGTGTGTGTACATGGATATATATAGATAAATGTATCACACACACACATACTTATGTATACGAGCCTTCTCATAATCCAAAACAAATCAATGGAAAGCAGAAGTTCAGCACAAGAGGTGACCATGAAACACAACCTTGGGTGCCTGCCCCTTACCCTCTCAGACCTAGGAACTCTCCAAAACCCTGGTGGGACCTTGGCTTTTCAACTGGGATGTGCATTGAAGGGCATCTCAGAGACACACAGAACTTACTTAACACCAGGACGATGAACTTATTGTTTCACTGTTTTACACAGTAGGTTCTAGAGAACATCATGGTCACCCCTACAAATTCCCACTTCCCATTCAGATATAGGCTACCCTTGCTGAACAAAACCTAGGGACAGGAGCAATAAAGGGAAGCTCATGAGTGGATACACAGGTTCAGAAAGAGCCACCTCCAAGTCCCCAGTAATGGCATAACTATTCCCCAGTAATTTTCTTACTAGTTGCTATTTGTTTTGTCCTGGTTCTTATTTTGAGTAAGAACCCATTGCTCCTCAGAAGTAAAAACAATATAATAATCATTTGTTTATTTGCTCCCTACTCGAAGACCCAGGATGACAAGGGTGGATTGCACACGGGGCGTGGGCATCAGAAACTGGAAAGCCTCACCCTGCCTGGCCTGTCAGGCTCGTATGCTTGGGCAAGCCACATAGCTCCTTGGGGACTCCATTTCCTCACCCAATGGTAATGACCAGCTTCACAGGGTGGCTGTAGAACTTAATTAAGGATTGAGAAGGAGGCAGAAAATACACAGTGCTGCATAAACGAAAAGATTTTCATTCATATTTGTTTTTGAGCTCAGTAACTTGTGATAGTATCTATACCCGGAAGATAAGTCTAGCTAGTCTTGTCCAAAAATTATTCACTTGTTATTGACTGGGAATGGGACATGTTGTTTTTCCTTTTGTTCTAGTACATTCTGTGGTCCTTGCTACTAACTTTGTGTATATGGCTTACTAACTGTAGATCTCAGTTTCCTTGGTCACCAGGATGTTCTCTATGGTTTCTCCATACTCAGATATGCTGTGGTGGACTAATCTTTTTGCTTGGTCTCTCTATCCCTGAACCATACTCAGATTCGACGTTGGTTGGTGGCATCCAGCTTGTGAGTGAACCCATAGGGTAACCCTCTGAGTCAGAAAAGGAAGATACTTTGGGATTCCTCAACTCTGCCAGGATCATGGGTCCCCACCTCTCTACTGAGTGATTAGAAGGCCTTGGCAGATTCAGTCAGTGTCTCAATTGCTAAGTATTTACTGAGTGAAATGAGCAAAAGGACTACTGGTCCCGAAGCAAAGAGAGAAAAGCTGAGAGCATAAAACTAGCCAAAAGGGTGGGTTGAATTACTTCCTTGAAAGCCTTATTATTCCTATCATATTTTTTAGTTTTTTTTTTAATTATAGAGGCTCTCCTTGTACTGGAGAGAGTCAAGGACCATAATTGTTCAGAAAGAGAAAAGAACTCAATGCCTTATCCCCAAGAAGTACTCAAAACCCTCCTGTGAAGCGTTTATTATTGAGAGGAATAGATGCCAGAGGATACCCATTACTTAAATAAAGCCTCTTCTGTACCCTCAACAGACATGACCAATAAATTCCCTCAGCCTGGCACAGCAGTGTTCAGAACCCTCAGGCTCACTGGGCAGCTGGGTGAGCCTCAGGGATTAGGTGAGGAGGAGGGAGAGCGAGGTGGCTATTGCAGGTTGCCATGCCAGGTGGCTGTTGAGAGGTGTGGGGTCATCAAGGCTTACACAAGGAGAATGGAGATCACAGGCCAAAGGGGAGAACAGGATGCTGACTTTGGCCAGCTTAGCATGGGGCAGATGGAGGGAGGTGACAGAAAGAAGGAGAGAATGTGTTTTGGAAAGCACAACAGTGTCTCATTTGTGTGCAAGTGAGCATGCAGGTGCCTTCCAAGTAGGATCCCGAAGAAGATACAGATAAATTGAAAGTTTGATATGTAATAAAGTACTATCTACTTTAAACATGTATAAACATAAGAAAGAACTTGGCATTGGTAGAAAAAGATGCATATCCTGATTACATTAATATGGGATGCATTGTTAATAGAGGTTGAGTGTTCTTTATCTGAAGTGCTTGGTACCAGAGGAGTTTGGGATTTCAGATTTTGGAATATTTGCATATACATAATCAGCTATCTTAGAATGGGACCCAAGTCTATACACAAAAATTCATTTATGTAGAAGGTGATTTTCTATAATATTTTTAGTGTAGCATTTTTGACTGTGACCTTTCACATGAGACCAGGTGTGGAATTTCCCATTTGGGGCATCTTTCTGGACTTTAAGAATCACAAAAATAATTTTGGAACTTCAACCTTGGGTGTCTACAGATGATTTTCATAGGAAACTGTGGCTAAGGAAATGTTGGGACGGATAATTTTTTTTTTCCAACCAAAGCATTATAACTGGTCTCCTTTATTCCTGGGGTAAATTTTCTGTTTCAGCTCTACTATAGAAAAATGTCACATATTACAGATTAAACACAGAAACCAGCTACTCATGGAGGGAAATATAGCATGTTCTGAGAGGGGCAGATATGGACACATGTCTGTCATGAAATCTGATTTTAATCATCCTTTGAAAAATAGCCTTTCTGTAAGGAAAAGTTGTCATTGTTGTATCTCACAGACAGTTCTCAGTTTTTAAGGGTTAATTTGACCTGCTTTGATGATGGAAATAAAAGACACTGTGGAAATATCCTTTTCATTCTAGGAAGCTTCCCCCGACCTTTTTCTGGGCTATAGAGGGAAGAAGCTTTTAGCTACTCCCTGTGTATTTTATATTGAATAGATGGAAGAGCGAGATGCAGAGCAAGTTAACTCTAACCTGCATGCTGTAGCTTAACTACCCAGCTGGTAAAGAAGGCAAATGAATTGTTAGCTATGAACGGTTTCTCAATCTATATCCCACTCTGAGGTCAACTGGCATCACAGGTGCATTTGGCCACGAGGCCCTCGTAATCTCAGAAGCAGATCTGGCTGCCAAGTCCAAGTTGCCATGACTCTGAACATAGTATAACATTCCCACTCCAAGCCAGGGCCTGTAACTCTTGCGACTGTTCAGCTGAGGGCCCTTCTTGGTACCATTCTGACTCACACACACTGGCCACAGTCATGGAGCAGGTGAAGGACTTAAGTGTCACTAAGTTGGTTTCCAGTTGCTTCCAGGAAAAAAAAAAAAAAATCCATGGCCTATAAGATTCTTGCTCCTGATCCATGGCACTCTTTCCCTGTGTTCACTGGCCCCGAAGAGGAGATCCAACCACTGCTGTCTTGGCTGTAAGTGCTCTCTCTCATACTTTGAGGGGCTCAGAGACAAACAGAAACCTAGGGACATGAGTGCTCTGGAGACAAAGTATAGAAAAAAAAAACTACATGAAAAATCTGCCAGGCATCTCAGCCCTGACATGCCACTTCTGACTCTTCCAACTTCAGAACATTCTGTTTTAGGAGTTGTCAATCAACCCGACATCATATGCTAGTTTTACCATGTTGATACACATCGACCAGAAAGGAAGCCAAAAGGAAGGCTCTGCCACCATAGCTACCTTTGGCAAAGCCTCGGATCATTCTGGATCCCAACCCTGGACATTTTCCCTACTGTGCTGTTCTGGGCTGGCTGTCTAATTTTTGGATCGGGCATCTATGGAGCTGGGTAAACACTGAGGTGTCATGAATATCAACATAATAAACACATAGCATTAATAACCAATAGATCCCTCACAAAACAATGGAGTAGCAAACTCACCTTGATGTGGCCTCTGTATCTTTGCCAACTGAGAGCTCAAATGCTGTTTTGTCATTTCTGCACAGTCATTGATGTTGCCATTTCTCCCCTCACGGGATCAAATCGCCAATGTAAAAATAAATCTAGACACTTTTGTTCACACATTTTTTAGGCGTGTGCACCAAATGACACACTCTGAGAGGTAAGCACAAGTCATGGTAACCAGCCACATCCTTTAGCTCTTGTGTCCCAAGAGTTAGCAGAACTTTATCTTGATGATGAAATGGCCTTTAGAAGTGGGTATCGCGGAGAGCAGAATGCGAACATCATTACTGAGAAAATGCATTTTTCTTTTAAACAGAGAAACCAACAGCCATGCACTGAAAGACCAGAAGGAAAAAAAAAAGTTGAGCTACCACAAAACAAACAAATATTCAGCTCGGTTTCAGGAAGCTTAGAGAGGATCAAACAAGCCTTTCTCTATTGAACTCTTGGGAGAACATTTATGCTTTCTCCGGCCTCAGTTCCTATTTACGCTGCTGGCTTTTATACATGGACCTCAGGAGGGCATTCCAGCCTCAGGTTACTCACAGAGCTGAGGCCTGAAAATCCCACCCCCAACTCAGCACTCACATTCAAAGCACTCACATTTGAATTTGTTTCCAAACATGGTTTAAACCACTGTTTTGCCCTTGAGGGGAGGACAGCTCAGAAAATGGGGACAGAAAGCAAGGATAAGAAAGCTTTCTGGGGATGTCAGCACCCCTCTGAGGAGACCATCTCTTCCTGTGGGATGAAAGCAGGAGAGAGAGCAACCTCAGAAGGAGGTTGCTATTTTCTGTTGGCTGTTGGGGACGATGTGGTGCTTGGCTGGATTTCCAAACAAATTATCTTCAAATATGAAGGCAGAATTAAGGCCAACCCCTTGCAAACAATATTCTAGTTTTAAAATCAATCTACTTTACAAATGTTGGTGTCATTCATGTTCATAACAATATTTTGGTTGATATTTTCATCCCCACTTGATGGATGAGAAAACTGAGATTGTGATTCTATGCCCAAAGTCACAAACACATGCATAGAAAAGCTAAGATTAACCTGAATCTATTTGCCTCTCATCCCTCAGTTCTTTCCAGCATGTCCCACTATATCCCAAATATATTCTTCCTTATAACCCTTATGATCTTCAGTGGGAAGAGAGAAAACTTTTGGAGCAGAGTGAAGATTTTCTATGCATGTGTTTGGGAAGTAGAAATGGGACAAGAAATATTATTACTTGGATTGTTGTTACTAGGTCCCCATCTTTTCATGGAAACATATGGAGGTTTTCTCTTAAATTCACATGTCAGGACCTGCTGGTGAAACACAAGTCACACCCAGCGTCTAGTGCCAGTTCACCTCAGAGAAGCAAGAGATGAGAAGGCTGGTCTCCAGATAGGTCAGATCTGAAGTGTGTATGCCTAAACCCACATAGAAACCACATGTGGCTGGCCTCTGGAGAAGGGCTCAGGAAGCATGATCCAGATTTGAGCAAGAACTCTTCTTCCATACATAGTGTGCTCCTATTCAGACATCTCCCACTGCATGCCGGTCTAGCTCCATCAGTACCTGTTTGGCATACCCGGGAGCTTAGGGAGAATTTCCTGTCTATGCTGAACGACTTCCCTTTATAGCTGGTTTGCAAATCTTCATGATTTTTCTGTTATGATGTAATCATTTGGGGTTACCTAAAATATCCAACTATTTTCTATGGCACAAAATCCATCTGCTTCCTGCTACCTAACCCCCTTCCACCTCCCCCAACTTCAATACCCTCTAGTACAGGAGAAGGCTTCCACTCCAGGAGGCTTCTGGAATCATTCCCACAAATAGTAGCAGCCCTCTGCCCCCTCCTCCCACCCTAATCTTTGTTAAAGTTGGTACAACATGTCCATAAAGTCAACTATCCCTTTCAGAGTTGGGAACAGCCATTTTAGTCACCTAAATCTGAGAGAGATAAATTTACAATCCACTTTAGGTTTATGTGGGGAACCATAAATATCAGGCTTGAGCCCTGAGGGCTAGAATTTCATGGGCCATTAAGCATGTCACCAGGTGGAAAGCTGTCAATAGCTGGATGTGAGTTACACTGAGATAACCGCAGTCAGCCTGGCTTAGGAGCATGTACTCTGATCAGAGAGGGCTCTTGTTTCCACTTGCTCCTTTCCTCTACTCACTGATATTCTCTCCCTCCTCTGAACACACCACTCTCCTTGGTTTCTCACGGCTTGTTCTCTGTGCTAAATAGCAGGCAGCCGTTTTCTTCCCTAGAGTGAAAGTTTGGTGACATATGGAAAGAAAGAGAGATTCACAGTGAGGCAGACCTGGATTTAAGTCCTTGCTGTGCCATCAAATAGCTATGGAATGATGCAGACATTTCTTAATCCATCTTAGCTTCAGTATTTCCGGTTGTAAAGTTAATAAAGATAATTAATAGATAATCAAGAAAGGTAGAACAAGGACCAGTGGATAGAGAGTGGAAGGAGATAGACTTCCTACTTAGTAGACAGAAGAAATTGCTAAAAGCCAGATTGTCTTAAAAATAGAATGGGCTGCCTTAAAAAGAAGTGAAGGAGTGAATACCTTTTACTGCAGGTTTTGTTTATAAACTAATGTATGGTTGTGGGTCCTGGGAATATATGGAAATTTATTATTTATTGCAGCACTGGGGGCATCACATATTCTAGACAAGTTCTTGGCCCCCATGCTACTCACTAGAGAGGGGTTTAGAGTGGATATGCACAATTCTCTGCTAATCTTGAAATTCCATGATTCTGTGACTGGAATGTATCCTTCCATAAAAGCCAAAATAAATCTTCTCCAAGTCCCCTATGGAGAAGAAGGGTAAAATGACATATTTTTTTTTGTTTTCATTTTCTTTCTAGCAAACTAATCCCTTCCATGTTTTTTCTCTTCCCCTTAATTAGTTGGTAGAGAATTACATTTCCATCAAGTGCACAGAACACATTTAACCATTGTGAAACACTTAACATTTAACACAAACCACATGGCCATAAGTTTTAATTACTTCCCACTCCACAAATAGGTCCATTTTTAGAAAAATCAAAATGCTCTATGCTTCTTATTCTCCCGTCTCCATTGTCTCTGACTAGCTCAGTGGTGCATTCCCTTCCTGCCCTCTGCTGCCTGAGCCCCTGGCACCTGCCAATAAAAGTGATGAGAGACTTTGATGCTCACACAGGTTTCCAACAACAGAGTTCACTTCATAATCACCAGAGTTCAGCCAGTAAGCCTGATCTGAGTGACATTGGATTTTTCACCTGAGATGTTACACTGTGGGCTTTCGTTTCTACAGGTTATAAAGCACTTTGAAAGTGAATTTTTTAGCTTGCTAGGGGAAATGACCTATGAGCCTGCAGACAAATCTCAACTGATTGGACAAAACCCAAACCCTTGTTCTAGTGCCTGAGTTTGCTTGGAAAATTGGCTGCCATGTGTGAGACACAGAGTCATCCTCTGAGAGAGTACATGCGTGTGCATGGGTATGTGTGTGTGTGTGTGTGTGTTTTCAAGCATGCGCAGGGCATGAAGCAAATCAGACATTTATAAAGCAGAGTCTTCTCTTGGCCAAAGTGATTGTCAAGGGCAGCCTTCAGTGGGAGGAACACAGTAGAAGATGAAGGGGCACCATGTGACCTCTTAGTTGGGGAAGGTTAGGACAGGACAGCCCAACCTCAGCCTCATCACAAAGTGATTGTCATCATTGACTGAACATCTATTATCCAGGCACTGAGGAAGAAAGTACTTGTTCCAACCTGATCTCATTTTCCCTATCTTACAGATGAGGCTCAAAAAGGTTAAATAACTCACCTATGACCACATTACTTGTAGGAAGCAGAGGTGGAGTGGAGCCTCTTGGTGATCCCTCAGAAGCCCCTTGACTCTTCATGGCACTGTCCCCTTTCAATGGCCTTCTCGGTTTGAGTCTGATGGCATCTGCTTCTCAGGCCCTTCTGCAGCCACCCCGCCTCCTCTTTCTCTGTTTTCATTTTTGCCTCCGATATGGTGTTTCCAAGTTGGTACTCTTATTTACTTAAAGTTATAATTTATGTTTCTGATACCCTAGCATATTGTTTTTCACTTTTGGATTTTCAAAACTATCAAGAGCTTCAGGGATAGTCAAAATCTCAACAAGATCATGAATCCCACCAAGAGACCTGACCTCTGTAGCCAAACTTCAGATGAGGATGTGGCTTCTCTTTTTTCCTATGAAAGCTGCCTTCCTGGATGGTTGGAATTTAGAATGTTTATCATTTGAATCCCAGGAACTTCAGAATAAAGACTTGTTGATCAAAGTTTCTCACAAGCTGAGGACAGAGAAGTCTTATTCTTCCCATTGTAAATAAAGATTCCAATCTTTTCATCCTGAAATAGGGATAATGCAACTATTTGAATTTATACACTAAAATATTTGATGGTACAGTTAACTATTTGTTTTAGAGGTAGAGTTTTATAAGAGGAAGATTTATTTTTAGGCTTGACATGGTTTGAATATAACAGAATATAACTGTTTCCCATATTTTATTTTACAAATTTATTTCCAGTGAAACTACATAGCTAGAATAAAACATCAAAAACAAGCAGGCATGTAAACAAAGGAGCAATAAAATCCTAACCCATTTGTTCTTTGCTGTGTAACTGGAACCTAGGCTCTTTGAAATTTGAAATGCTGTGTTCCTTGTCACAGTAGGCTGAATAACGTCACCATGTTCCAACCCCACACCCCCACACCCCCACACAAAAAAGATGTCTACATCCCAATTCCTGGAACCTGTGAATATGTTACTTTAGGCAAAAGAGACTTTATAGACATAATTAAGAATCTTGAGATGGGGAGACTATTCTGGATGATCTGGATGGGCTCAGTATAATCACAGGGTCCTTTGAAGAGGAAGGCAGGAGGGTGAAAGACACAGAGGGTGATGTGATTGTGGAGCAGGTTCATTGATACCATGTCACTCACTTTAAAGATGGACAAAAGAGCCACTAGGCAAGGAATACAGGTGGCCTCTAAAGCTAGAAGAGTTAGGAGGCAGATTTTCTGCTAGAGGCTCCAGAACTAGGCCTGCCAATACCTCAGTGTTAGCACAGCGAATTTGATTTTGAACTTCAGACCTCTAGAACTTTAAGAGAATAATTTTGTATTGTTTTAAAGACCACTTTATGGTGATTTATTCTAGAAGTGATAGGGAACTAATGCACGTGTTTGCCATTTACTGCATCTCTTGCATCCACACAGTGCTTGGCTTTTAGTACGGATTCATAAATTGATATTTATTGAATGCATCGGAACAGTAAAGGAAGGAAGTCTTGAGAATGGACTGTACCGGATTCATGGCAATATTTCCTGATTACAAATTCCCTGTCGCTGAAGACGTGAAGTATATTTGTGCAAGGATCAGAAGGGTGAACAGTTAACCTGGCTACTCATGGCAAGGCCCTAGCATTTAGACAGCTTTGTATTAGCCCTTCAGGCCTAGCAAGTTCTTTCCTGGGAGCAGATGGAGACCACAGGGTACAATACACAACATTTAGAGGCTAATTGCTTTAAGAATTCTTACCTGAAGCTTCCATGTACTAAAAACTCCAGGGAAACAAGGAAGAAGAAGAGGCCAAACCAGTACTGTCAATACAACTAGCAAGTAGCAGCCCCTTGCAGAATGTCTGCAATATGCAAAATGTCTGGTATATTGTAGGTCCTCAATGAGTTAATGATAGAATGTATGACACTCAGAGTCAACATGTAAAGCTTTCTACAGTAGGTCACGCTCCCATCATCTCTACCTTCTCTGCCTCCCTGGATGCTAATTTTGATTAGATTTTACCTATATAAACTGAAGAAAAGCAAAGGAGAGCACTTCTAACTCTAGACACAGAACCATAGATCTGTCAATCTTCCACATGTATTTTTGGCATTGGTGCTAGAGTCCACAATAATATACCTCACCTCTTTCGGGAATTTCTTGCTTGTTTAATTTCTTTCTTCTTCTTCTTCTTCTTCTTCTTCTTCTTTCTTTTTTTTTGAAAATAGATTTAAAGAAAATAGATTAAGCCATTCTTATTCTGATTGGAGAATAATTCCCTTAAGGAACTTAACACTTAATGGTTATAATAGTAATTTACAGTAACTTCTCATTCAGGATTCCTTTAGATGTGTTATAGAGGTAAAATCAATAACTTCTACCAAACTGGAGAAATTTAGATGAGTGGTTTTTGAAATATAGGAACAGAGAAAAAAATCAGTGATAAAAACCAAAATAACTCTAGTTCTAAGTCAAGATCTAGATGGCTCTGAGAATCAGAGCCATCAGAAAAGGGTGGCCTTGGGAATTATTACTTCACTTGTGAGGAAAACAGGCCCAGCTGGAGCCTCACCAGCTCCTACAGCCAGGAGACACTAGATTCAGGATTCTAGTTCAGGCCCTCTGAGCCCCAGTCCAGGGTGCATACCCATCTGCCTTGTTTCTTTAGATGATGATTCCAGGGGTTCGAAGGCACATAAAAATAAATAGATACCCATCTTGCCTTCAAGGCATTTACAATGTAGCAAAAGATATAATATATGTATATAAAATTAAGATGCAGCCACATCAATATTTATAGCAGCTCAGCTCACAATAGCTAAACTATGGAGCCAACCAAGGTGCCCTTCAACAGATGAATGGATAAAGAAAATGGAAATAAGAATGAAATTATGGCATTTGCTGGTAAATAGATAGAGCTGGAGACTATCATGCTAAGTGAAATAAGCCAGTCTCCCCAAACCAAAGGCCTAATGTTTTCTCTGATATGCAGATGCTTATTCAAAATAAGAGAGGGGAGCTGGGGAAGAATAGAGTTATTTTAGATTAGGTGGAGGGGAGTGAGGGAGGGGAGGGAGTATTCGGTAGGAAGGACAGTAGAATGAATCAGATATTATTACCCTATGTACATATGAACTATAAGATTGGTGGGATTCTACATCATGTACAACGAGAAGAATGAGAAATTATACTCCATCTATGTATGATATATCAAAGTGCATTTTACTATAATTAATTAGAATAAAAGAGACAAACAGATATCCTCTACAAAATAGGTAGAGATTAAAGAGGAATCTTTAAATCATTTAATCATTTACCCCTGAGATAGTTAAATTTTTTTTTTGTTTTGCAACAGTAATCAAACTCATAAAATGGTGAACTTCCTCTCATTTGCAAGATTCTTTGAAACCAAGTACTTGGAATATAACTTAGTTAAGGATTGCACAACACATGCTATTTGGGTATCTCATATAAACAATGCAGTCCACCACATGAGGCAAATTGGATGGAATCCACTGGGCAGGTATCTCCTGGTCTACCCATGTAAGCCAAACCAAATTAGAGATGGAGTCAAAAACAAAGGAAAAATAAAGCATAAATCTAATGACCCCACCCCCACCCCAAGAGGCTAAGAGATCATCTCCCCATCCCTCATTACTGGTGGCTTGCACTAAAATAAAAATACCACTCAAGCTGGGAAAGAGGAAAGCGCTTGGTTTGGGACCCAGATACAAAGTAATAGGAAAGTAAAATTATTGCCCACTAGAGACTGTCTTCTTGGTATAACAACAAGAATATAAAGACCATTGAATAGTGGGATTTGTGAGAAATATGGGTCATGTTCTGTAGCCCTAGTTGCTTGCAGAATTAGCCATGTGGGTTGGCACACAGTGCCGTGAATATTAGAAACCACAAATCTCCAGGGTTTCCTGTACAAAGTAAAAGACCTTGTCTTCAGATTGCCAGGTTGGATGTTGGCTCATTAAAGAAGGGCCTGGGTGAGTTCCAGAGCTACCTATACACTCCCTCAGTCTCCCTGCCTCCCTCTTCCTCTCATCTGGGATCTGGGTACCCTAGTGGGTCCAGCTGTAGCTTATGATGCTTCTGCCAAATCTCCAGGAAACAAGCCTCTCCATGACAACTGCCAACCAGGAATCCACAAAAAACAATTCTGGACAATGGGACAAACCATATTTCCATGAACAAAACCATGGGAAGCTTATTCTTTTGCTCCTGGGGGACAAGAAGAGCTATTCCCCAGTTGTATTATGCTGCCTTTGCCGGCCAGAAAAGGAGTGAACCTCCCTGTATAGACAAGAGAGCCAATTCTAGAGAAGCTGAGCCCATGTTCGGCTCCCTTAAAAACATTTCTGTGGGAACTAGAAATGGAAACCAGGTCCTTCCATGTTTTCATCTGGGCAGTCTTTGACTCCTGGGCAGGATTATTATCTTAAGTTGTAAGTAAATTGAGCAAAGTCTTTTAGAATGTATAATTGAATAGAAAAAAGGAAACTGAAATGTGCTTTTAGATCCTCAGGATAAAGTATACCTTGGAATCAAATAAGCTACCTCTGTACATCATATTTCCATGTATGCTGTCTGGAATGCTCTCTGCATTCTCCCTTCACTTCTCTTCATGCTCAGAAATATTGCTTAGCCTTCTCTCATCCACAGTGATTTCCAGGAGCCACCAGGGGTAGGTCCCTTGTCACTTCTTTCCTTAGCCCCTGTATCCAAAACATTTATATTGTACATTTGTGTATTTTTCTTTCTACTCCTACCTCCTCCAAAAGGAAGGAGGAGGAGGAGAAGTAAAGGAGGAGGAGGAGGGAGAGGAATAAGAAGAGGAAGAGGACAAGGAGGAGGAGGGGGAAGGGGAAAAGGAGGGAGAGAAAGACAGGGTTTATGTAGGGAGATTCCATCTTTTCTTTCTTGTCCTTGGTGCTTTCCACACACATTGGGAGGGCAGAAAGATCAGGGGGATTCCTGAATGAATAAATTAAATGTAAATTTGCATTCTCCTAGCATCCTGTAGACTAGAGAAGCCAGAATTATGAACAATGGTCATGAAAATGAAGACCCACCTCTGGGTTGGTCTCCCCACAGGTCACATCAGCTGGGCAAAGCCCTTCTGGATGTATTTCTAATAATTATATATCTATGTTCTTAGAACTCAGAGGGTTGTTCTTTGTAAAATTTGTGAAACACATTTTTTTCCAGTTGTAAAAATTATTTTATAAATGCCAGCCTGATCTACTTGATTTCAGTGAGCTTCTATTAAATGTAGAGAAGATAACATTTTGGAGGGTAAGTTTGTGTTTAAATAATTTTGTTTAAGAATGCTAAATAGGATACATTTTTCTCTTTGGAAAAAAAAAAACCCTGTTTCAAATGTGATGCTTGGAATTTCAGCTTAATCTACAACAGGCTGTCAGAAAGGCACTGAGAAGTGGCTGATGGTCCTTGTGGAATCCCTCAGCCAAGCCTAGATTGTCATTTGAGCATATTGACCTGTCCCTGACAGGAAGTCCATGAAAGCCAGAGGAGGAGAAGCTACTGCAAGCCTGCTGCCCAGCATGAACAAGAACAGAAGGCAAAATGATCACTTCTGGGACATATCACACAACTTGGAAATGGTGTTCAATAAAAGAAAAGATAATTTGGGGCCACACAACCTGGAGTGAACATATGACCTGCAGTCACTGGTCTGGATTTAGAAAACCACTTTGATCCCCAGAGGATAGATTGTTAATGAGCATTTTAAAGGACAAGATTGAGGCAGCCTGATAAAGTGTGAAAGGGTCCTGGTTTTGAAGGGCTCCAGTCTTGCTTCCACATCTGTAAGCAACTGGAACTAACTCTGAACAAGACACTCTACACCTCCCTGAGAAAATGTCCTTTTCTATGAAATGGGAAGTAAGGATCACCAGATGAACTCTCTGGTCCATTCTACCAGAGATCTAGGCTTTTATGACCATATTAACATGGAGAAGATTCAAGAACAAGAGTAATTAATGCTTTTCCCTTTTTGCTACCAGAAATGAAGGGTCAAGCAACCTTAATATAAAAAGTAGTTTTTTTTTTACTTGTATACTAACAATCAGTACATAATTTATATAGAAATACAAGGATTGTATATAACTTAAGTGACCACTGCCTACTTCCTGAAATTGATATGCTCATCCTTGTCACCTCTTCTTCATAAAATAAATGCTGATTACTCAAAGTGGTCAAGCCTCCAATGTAAAAAATTATCATCATATAAATCACAGACAACAAGGAGGTGAAAAAAGTAAATGTATTCAAAATTTTCAAGCTTATACAAAAACCCAGTAGTATAATCCATTCCCATGTTCCTACCCCAGACGCCTGCCCCTGCTACTCTGGCTTTACCCATTGCCTGCCCCTCTCTAACATACTTTTTTCTGGAGCATTTTAAAGTAAATCTCAGCTAATTTGTCATTTCATCCATAACTTCTGCAGTCTTCATTTCTGATACAGATATTTTCTTAAGAAAAACTCCTATGCCATTGTCATATCTGATAATATTTTTTAAAAATCCTCCTTATCAAATAAAATAGCAGTCCATATTCAAATTTCATTAGTCATTTATAATATATTTTTTCCTTTCAGCTTTTGGCTTGAATCAGCATCTAAACAAGGTGAAACTGATTTCACTTAATTCACAATCCTTTGTCTTGTAAATATTTCTTCCAGATGCTAACATTACTTAGACATAAAATATCTGGAACACAGATAATGTTTCAGATAAGGCCAAGCTTCCTTGCTACTAAATATTTCATTATCCGAAATGTCTGATTCTATGAATCAGATATAAATGTAGTAAAAGGCTCAGAACCGGAAAAATATCCTGCCGTTCTCATAGTTTTCCCAAATGCGTAAATGATTTAGGCAACCTTAACTGAGCGCTCTAAAGAGATTTTGTTAAACTTTACAACATTCCGGGGGAAATACATCTGACTAATGGCCTTTATTTTACCTACATACAAGCTGGATTTTCTAGACCGTCAAGCAGCCCATGAGCAAATGTAGCATTTTTAGTGGTAGCTCCACTTGCACTAAAAAAAAAAAAAAAGAAAGAAAAATTTAGTGGAATGTGGGACGAGGGCGTCTTTGGAAATATTGCTAAGAGTGCTAAACTGTCTTTGACTGACTTTTGGGAAGAGGAAGGTGAACAGTTTCTCCATTCAGCTCCAGGAGGCCTCACTGGTAACACACAGGCAACTGCTGTGACTCATGACTAAAAATCCTGTTTTATAACACCAGTCTGTGTTTTGTAACACGCACCAACATAACAAAATAAAATAAATAAATAAATAAAGACTATTTAGAAACCAAAACCGAGGCCTGCACCTGGCACTAGTATCAAGATCTCAAGATGTCAGAGTGGCTACTTAATCCAGATAAAGTGGGCAAGGCCTTATCCCTTCCTTGGCAGGAAAGTGGAGGCTTCCTGCCTGCTGCACACATGCCCACAGGAGGAGCAACCATGAATTTAATTTTCTTAAAACAGAAGCATTTTCAGACTTGTGTTTTCCTGGACAGTTGCCTAGTGGCTGTAATCCATAAGGGCGTGTAATTGACAGTAATGTGAATCATTCACTGAAATTCTGGCACCAAAAAAAAAGGGGGGGGGGTTATTTTTTTTTCCAGGAAAAAATTAAGGATCAGATTCATCTTGTCCATTGAAAATAGCAATTATTTTACATTTCAGCTCATTAGCTACCTTTATATAAAAAACGCCTGTAATGTGCACGATCTGAATGTGTTGTAAAGAAGAGGCGCAGTTGCACAATGCCTGCAATTGGATGGGTTGGGTCAGACTTAATCTGTGAAATGGCAGATTTAGATGGGTCACTCGATATAGAATACATGGAATTCCTCTCCCAAGAGTGAAATCTGGGAGATAGTCCAACCATTGAGTTTTGCCCCTTCAAAAGCAGCTATCTGCCCAGGACCTTGTAATTATTATAGTAGTACTCAGGGCAAAATAGATCAAACTGCCTTGATGTCCAAGAGCAGCTTCAGAATTCCTTTCACAGGGATCTCCAAATGAAGGGCTGGGGATTTTCCCAGATTTAAGCTGTTAGAAATGTTGACGCTTTTAGACCTGGTAAAGCATTTTTCCAATCTATTAATTCTTTTTGAATGAGAGAGAGAGAATCATCTGAATTAACTTCATTATCAACCTGAAAGGGCTCCCTCTTTTCCAAAGCATAGGCATGGAAACGAAACACTGGAAATCCACAGAAGATTTAATTCCATTTAGATAAACCCCGATTCTATCTGAACCCTAGAGGTTCAGAGATTTATCTGAAACTCCAGCACCTGTGAAACTGAAAGCCCTTGTCAAGGTGTTTGGGGCTTGTGGTCCCTGGGGGAATGGGTGTATTTTGAACTGTGAAAATCCCAGGAATATCTGAAAAGATGAGCAAAACAAACTTGGGCCTCTAGAATGTTGGGATGTTGTGGGGGAGATGTATTATGGAAGGAAAAAACACTTAGCTCTTTCCTTCAATACACAACACTCCAGGAAGATGGTTTGGTTTAATTTCCTAGTAATAGGATCTCCCATTCTTAGAAGTAAAATTGAAGTCAGATTTCACTAAA